ACCTCAGCACCACCCTATCAACACTCACGTTCCAATCCGACAACACAGAACATTACAATCACCTATTCACCCTATATGAACTACAACATGCAATCGTAAAGTGTGGGAATACTTCGGTAGGCCCGGACAAACTGCCCTACATGTTCTTCAGAAAACTAACCCCCTTTGGCCTTGAACACTTTCTCAAGGTCATCAACCAGCTATGGGTTGAAGGCCACTTTCCGGACTCCTGGAGAGAAAGTATAATCATCCCCATTCTCAAAAAAGACAAACATAGCACCGATCCAGCTAGTTACAGACCAATTTCATTGTCGAGCTGTGCCTCTAAAATCGTCGAGAGAATGGTCAACAATCGAATCAGAGTGTACCTAGAATCACAACACAAGCTCTCACAACACCAAAACGGATTTCGACCAGCACGCTCCACAGCTGACAACTTGATACACATTATTGACACGATACAACAGGGGTTTTTCCATAATAAAGTGACAGCTGCACTCTTCCTCGATCTGAAAGCAGCCTTCGACAAAGTACATCACAAAGCTATACTTATAAAAACACATAACATGGGAATACGCGGACGAATGGCCAATTTCATAAGTAATTTTCTTAATAACCGCACTTTCAAGGTCAGAGTAGGCAACACCTACTCAACCCTACATAACCTCGATCACGGCGTCCCTCAGGGAAGTCCTCTCTCCCCGACGCTCTTCCTTATATATATAAATGACATCTTTGACAATATACACAATGTAACACATAACGTACACTATTCCATGTACGCGGACGATCTGGCGGTCTGGACGTCGCACCACAATGTGAATGCGGCATACCAAAAACTTCAAACGGTACTAAACCATGTAAACAAATGGTGTGACAAGTGGGGAATGCAAATTGCTCCCCACAAGTCAGCCTCACTAACCTTTTCCAAACAACGCAGACACCCCACACCTCCACGCCCGCTCCGTTTGGGCCGGGTTGAGATTCCGCAAACAAATACCTTTAAATATCTAGGCATCACACTGGACAGGGGACTCACTTTCACACAACACATAGCAGACATCACAGGAAGGTGCACCCGGCGCCTCAACATCATGAAATGTATCTCTGGTACACACTGGGGCGCCGACAGAAAAACACTGACACTTCTATATACATCTCTGATTCGATCCATCTTGGATTATAATGCCTTTTTACTAACAAATATATCCACTACTCTCAGTAACAAGGTCGAGAGTATCCAGAATTCCGCTCTTCGCATTATTTCTGGCGCACTCCGCACTTCGCCTTCATCGAATCTCCGTGTTGATTCAAACATTCCTCCTTTGGAAAGAAGAAGAGAATACCAGCTTATAAGGTATTACACGAAAGTAATGGCAAGAAAAGATACAATACCATACGCTATACTCAGTAACCTACCAGAAAATAACATAATAACACATAGAGAATACAAGTACCAAACAATAAGAAGACACCTTAAAAACATACTTAGGGACTATAAAATAGAAACTCCAAAGGTTCTAGATAACCCTCCACTGAGCCCGTACTGGACTAGGCACCCCATCCAAACCCTCATCCTCTTCGATGACAACAAAAAAGACATGAACACTGATGAAATGAAACAACTTTTCCTCGAATTCCAAAACGACCATAAAGACCATACTTTTATATACACAGACGGCTCTCGGGCGGACAACAAGACCGGAGCCGCCTTCTATATAAAAGGATTCGCACAATCCACCCGCCTCTCCGATAACCACTCCATCTTTTCGGCCGAACTCTACGCGATCAGTGCAGCGCTTCGACACGTAATCAACAAACCTGATAGACAACTAATGATTTGTACTGATTCCAAGGCAGCAGTGCAATCAATCGCAGCGGCCCATAATGATTCGCACCCAATCACGCGAGACATTAAAAGACAAATTAATCAAATCACCGACCAAAACAGAGAAGTTAAGATAATCTGGATACCCGGTCACGCGAATATTGTGGGGAATGAGCGCGCGGACAAAGCGGCCAAAGCCAGCCTCCGTGATCCCCCCAATAACTCCCTCCCATGCCCGGTATCAGATTATCTTAATGTCATTTACACGTCCTACAAAAAGTATGTCCAGTTTGAATGGGACGTAAATCCACATTACTACTTTCACCCAATCAAACCAATTATCGGACACTGGTCGACTGCTTATCAAAATACCCGGCTTAAAGAAGTAATTATAGCCAGACTTAGAATCGGACATACTAAATTGACACATGAATATATCTTTGATCAAGGCCCCCCTCCAATCTGCCAACGTTGTAACATAAGATACACAATTGAACACTTCTTGATCCACTGTCCCCAATATCAAGCAGAGAGGCAACCTATAATCCAATATATCACCCACAACCAACTAGCACTTTCAATTCCTACTCTCCTCGGCGATTCTCACCCGGATCTACTCGACTTGCTTTTCTCTTTCCTGAAGAATTCCAGGCTAGACCGATCCATATAGCACAGTCTCGCGCTCAGTTCCGTGGTCGGCCAGCCGTCGATAGCGGTTCTGGGCGCGGGACTCAATCTTTTTGATTTCCTGGATACTGGCCATGTCAATTAAGGAGCCCCGAGCTTACGGGCACCAGCCGCCGCCGCGGGGACCATTGGCACGCGGCGGCGGGCTCCTCTGCCCCCCATCTGCTTGGAGAAAGAGGTGTCGGCACTATGCCGTCCGCAACGACCCGTTTAATGGATTGTTACGTCACTGGAGTCCGCACTGAAACGTCAGTTCTCTAATCATACCAGTCAGCACTTGGTGGGGGTTTTGTAGGAGCCCCGAGCTTACGGGCACCAGCCGCCGCCGCGGGGACCATTGGCACGCGGCGGTGGGCTCCTCCCCCAACTCCTTGGACACTTGATTTTCTCTTGGTTTCTCTTGGTTTCTCTTGGTTTCTCTCGTGGTTTCATCGTAATTGTTTTTGTTTCCATTGTTCTTGTTGCGCCGTGATTTCGTCTATGTTTGCGAGCGCGCGCGTTTGCGTCCCTCCGGCGGCGGCGGCGGCAATCGGCATCTGCCCATCCCTCTCCCGGTTCTCGACAGGGATCCCTCTTAAAGGTTGAGGCCCACTCGAGACACATAGCCCCACAAACACACTTACACATTAGCGATATAACGTAACGTAATATCAAAGCAAAGGGATTTTTCCTGTGCAATTTGGCAAAAGCGCACAGGTTTTGCCCTCTAAGATAGGCACCAGGTTTTTCTAGTTAGGACTTTCCTGGTGGAACTCACAACACAACAACAGCACACATTACAACACTACCACATTTCAGCATCAAGATTCAGCAGCAAGAAATGTAAGTACTCAAAATCCCTCTCGGCACTGCCACTCTGGCACCCTTTCTGGCTTTCCCTTGCACTTGCTTCCACCGGACGTCACATGAGCCGGGCTAACGTAAACTTTGTTCTTAATATTGCCTTGGGCCGGAATAACATAGCCGGCATTAAAGTAAAGTAAAACGGAAGATCTGGCTAATTGCCAGCTAGTAACTTCCCCCTACCCCGACCAGGGCCTCGGCCTGTCGGGAGCAAAATTCAAAAAAATTTAAAAAAAAAAAATAACATAGCCGGCATTAAAGTAAAGTAAAACGGAAGATCTGGCTAATTGCCAGCTAGTAACTTCCCCCTACCCCGACCAGGGCCTCGGCCTGTCGGGAGCAAAATTCAAAAAAAAAAAGGGGTTTTGTAGGAGCCCCGAGCTTACGGGCACCAGCCGCCGCCGCGGGGACCATTGGCACGCGGCGGTGGGCTCCTCCCCCAACTCCTTGGACACATGATTTTCTCTTGGTTTTTCTTGGTTTCTCTTGGCTTTTCTCGTGGTTTCATCGCAATTGTCTTTGTTTCCATTGTTCTTGTTGCGCCGTGATTTCGTCTATGTTTGCGAGCGCGCGCGTTTGCGTCCCTCCGGCGGCGGCGGCGGCAATCGGCACCTGCCCATCCCTCTCGCGGTTCTCGACAGGGATCGCTCTTAAAGGTTGAGGCCCACTCGAGACACAGAAGCCATCTGGCCGGACACCCCGGGCGTGGCCTAGGTGGCTTGCATCCATGGCCCCCGGGAGTGGATGAAGGCGATAGCTCCACAAACACACTTACACATTAGCGATATAACGTAACGTAATATCAAAGCAAAGGGATTTTCCTGTGCAATTTGGCAAAAGCGCACAGGTTTTGCCCTCTAAGATAGGCACCAGGTTTTTCTAGTTAGGACTTTCCTGGTGGAACTCACAACACAACAACAGCACACATTACAACACTACCACATTTCAGCATCAAGATTCAGCAGCAAGAAATGTAAGTACTCAAAATCCCTCTCGGCACTGCCACTCTGGCACCCTTTCTGGCTTTCCCTTGCACTTGCTCCCACCGGACGTCACATGAGCCGGTCTAACGTAAACTTTGCTCTTGATATTGCCTTGGGCCGGAATAACATAGCCGGCATTAAAGTAAAGTAAAACGGAAGATCTGGCTAATTGCCAGCTAGTAACTTCCCCCTACCCCGACCAGGGCCTCGGCCTGTCGGGAGCAAAATTCAAAAAAAAAAAAACATTTGCCGGCCACGGAGCATAAGCTGCTCATCTCCATTATTTCGTCGTCTTTCAGAAATTTTGTCATGGACCTGCTTATTTTTAACGGACGTAGTTATGATACATGAAGAAAGGATGCTTAAAAGGATTGGAAAACTAAATTATTGGTAACTCATTTCCAGGGCAAGCCCAAGTGCAGCCATGCTAAACGGATAGCCGTTTGATCGACGACACATCGACGAGGTTGGGGAACTCGGCTGACACCTTATCAGCTGACTCAGTGCACAACACTCTGACGCGGTCCACGCTCTCTCAGCTTCCTCAGCGGCAGTCACACTCTGACTGACCCCTCTCGGACAGCACCACGGACCCTCACATTCACCGTCTCAGCTGCCTTGCCCCAGCTGCTCTGACCCCGCGCGCCCCTCGCCGGCAGGGCCGCGTCGACCGACGGGGCAAGAAGCCGAAACAGTTCAGCAGACGCTCGGCAGAGAGCTCCTTCAAGAGCATCGTCAAGACGCACGAAAAGTACGGCTGGGTGACGCCGCCGCTGACCGACGGCTGAGGGGGGTGGCCGCGCCCACAGCCCGCCGCGCCCCGCCTCCTGCTCGTGCACGTGGCCCGCGAGCTCAACGGGGCCACCGTGTTCAACGGGAGCACGCGCCGCTGGCAACTGAAACCACACCGCTGTCTATTCAGAGCTTAGGGGAGGGCTAGATCATATACTATTGGATAGTTATTTAGCTGAAGAATGGGTAATTGCATGTGACCAGATGGAGCCGAAAAAAAACTCTCGCCGCTGCTAGCGGAAGAAAAATCGCAAGAACCAGTGCTAGGACGTCTTAGAAACATGGACCTTGTCTGGCGTTAGTATGGGTCTGGGACTGATCTGGAAGTGTCTAGATGTTCCGTGGACTGGGCCTGAACTGCAGGCCAAGGAATAGGTCTGGAGCGGGTCTGGGCTGCGTTGAGGCCGGTGCTTGGGCTCTCTGGTCTTCACTGGGTCGGGGGTGGGGTGCGGGGGTCTGTTTTGAAGTGGGTCGGGGTCTGAGTTTGGCCCTGGACTCTGGTCTGTATCGGCTCGGACCCGGAAGTGTCAGCGATGAGCTGTATGTCCGCGCTCCGGCGAGTCAGCGGGGCAAAACAGAGTCAGTTCTCCGCAGCTGTTCGGCCAGTCGCCCCGCGGTCCGTCGGGGGAGGGGAAGGATGGGGGCGGGGGCGTCGGGCCTTTGTTTGGCCGCGGCGCGGATGCTTCCAATCACTGGCGGCCGGCGGTGCAGTGCCGGGGTGACTCAGTTCGCGCCGGGTCAAGGGTCAGCGCGACTGCGCGCCGCCGCCACTGCCGGGCCGCTGCTCGTGACCAGAAGGGACAAAGCGCTGCCCGCGGGCGTGCAGCAGCACCGACATACAACACCGGCAAAAACCGCGGCCCGATTACCGCGGACCGCGGCGCCCTGCGCCCGGAGATCGGCCGCACTTTACGTGGGCGCCAGGGTAGGGGAGAACGGGGTCAATTGTAACATTTTTTGCATTTTATCATCTGGAGCAAACACGTTTGCAGTTATAAAGCTCTTTCTTTTATGTTCAGAAACTATGATGTTTTGTCTTTAAAATGCAGTTTAAACATTTCCGAAATAACTTCTTTTTCGGGTCAAAATTGTTGTCCGAAAAAGTCAATTCAGCTGTTACAATTCACCTCAGATACGGGGTCAAAAGTAACACCACCCGGGGACAATTGTAACATGTTAATTTACAGGCTACAGCAACACAATTTTTTTCCAAAAGTTTGATTTAACAAAAGTATTTAACACTTGTTCATCTTCCCAGACTTGGTAGGGACGGTTCTTCTCAGGAAAAAAGGCTTAAAACTTCGCACTTATACAGGGGTTGGATGGACCTCCTCTCCCTCGGTTTTTCGCAAATCAATCGCGTAAAAAGCTGCTGATTGCGACAAAACTTACAGTTCTCGTAATTCTAGCAATGTTTCATCTTCCTTGAAAATTTGACGACTTCGACATAATGGCCACTGACCTATAACCTGTTACATTTGACCCCTGCAAAAATGTTACAATTGTCCCCGTCGCGCCTTGACATATTTTAGACGAAACTGGCGCAAAAAGATGTTGCATGTACAGCATTTAATGCCTTCTATTTATGGACAACAAGCCTGCCAACGCTTACACAAAGTCTGAAGTCGATATCTTTTCAATGGCAGGAATGAGCTAATCAAATATAACGGTATAAAAATTTACAAAATGCTCTCAAAAACATATTACTGTGCACAGCCATCGACATACCCGGCACTTTCGCTTCAAACTCCGTTGAGAAAGGCAGTATAGAATTACGCATTTTCGGTCTGAACATCAGTTCATTCTATTGGTAAGTTTATGAATTATTAACACTGTTACAATTGCCCCGTGTTACATTTGACCCCGCTCTCCCCTACATACGTGGGCGCCAGGATACGTGGGCGCCAGGATACGTGGGCGCCAGAATAGGGGACTGGACAGCCGTGTGTCTGTGATCAGTTTACGTTCCATTGATGGTGTTCGGTTATGTGATATTTTGACAGAAGCTTCGAGTTGATTTTGACGTAAATGTTTTGTGTACGCAGTGTGCTTCGCTCCTGATATGTTACCACCCAAACATGTAATAATAATTTGGTTGCTAAATTCTAAATTCAATATGGCGTTTACCAATGTGTAGGTCGACATTTATCGGTTAAATTGTGCGCTGCGCTTACCATGTATGTGGAGCATCATATTTTCGGTGGGATATGGTCGTTATGCGCGCGCTGCTTGTGCCAAAGACAGCTGACTCGCCAGGGGTGGAACGCGGTCTATAGCCCCAATATAGCGATGCCATTTGCGCCTGCTATTTGCAGTCTGGACGCGCTCTCGGGACAGAGTTGCCCGCCAACATACAGGTCAAAGTGTCAGTTTCTGCTCAGTGTGTCCGTGACAGAGTGATGGAAATTCGCGAATGGAATACATTGTCGCCTTGTTGTCATCATTCTGTGTCTATGAATTCCGAACAGCTGGGAAAAGGCCGTCATTTTTGGCGTGCACGAGCATCGATTCCAGTTATCAGACACCGCTAATATTTTTCGTTTTGGAATGCCTACGTTTTTTTTTTTAACGCAACACTACAGGATCGGCTCAGTTATGCTTTCAGCATAATTGATTTAATGTGTTTTGTGCATGTAATCGCACAGGCCACTATATAGCAGGAATCTTTCGTCCTTGTTTTCTTCCATGGTTTGGCAGTAAAACCTTGTAAACACTCGCTCACTCAACAGATACGGCATACGCCGTGGAGCATAGAAACCGTACAGCTTCGTATGACGCGGAAACAACTTAGTCATAGCAAGTTGTTATGCAGGCTCCCGAGGTCAACAGCGACTTGCAAAATCATGTTTTGAAAACAGGACAAAGCTAGGTAATAAAATACAATAAGATGGGATACAGGAAATCGTCGCCACCTTATAGCCGACGGTAGGGGGATTTGTTTGTTTTCCTCTATCAGAGCCAATGAATATACCCCTAACGTCAATGGACAGTGAGCAGAGTGAGCGCCTCGGTTAGACCATGTTTTTATCTGCTCGGACAGCCTGGCTACCACAATGCATTCTGCTGAGGCCAGATCACACAGCGCTCTGTGAAGCTGAAGGACGGGTCAGACTGACCCCCTGCCCGTCATGCCTGGTGTCCCCCTTGTCCCCGTGACGCCAGTCTGACCCCGTGACCCGCCGAGTCCGTCTGTTGAGGCCAGCTGCAGAGGGACCGCGGCGCACACTGCCGGCACGTGACTGGAGGCTGTTTATCCGCCGGCGGCGCCGGTGCTCGGAGTGACCCCTCCACTTCCCTCCCCCCTCCCCGGCCGCACGGACGGCCGGCTGGCGGTGTCGGCGGAACGGCAGCCCTCTGCTCTGCTCCACTGGCGACGGCCGATACCTTTCTATTGCTGGTCTGCCACAACTTTTTTAATAGTTTATTTTTCCCATCAAGTTCAAAGCTCCTAAATTCCATGCGATGTGCTTTGAATACTGATGATGTTGGATGGGATATCGGATTATAATTGGTCAGGCGTGCTTCGATCACTCTCGCATCAGTCCAGCTCAGTTCATCACTGTAAACAGGCAAAGTGCCCTCGTTATAAGTATAGGGCAGGGACACCGTGACACAGCAGCGGTGTGGGCTGACGAGTGGAACGCGCATACATGAATGATGGTGTGAAGTGAACTGGAAATAAAAAGTGAACTTTTCGTGTTTAACAACAACTTTTGCTTGGAACTGTCATTTCCTTTGCAAATTGCATTATTGTCATGCTGGGCCAATTCAAAAATATGAGCTTTACTAACCAAAGGAATATCCTTTGGTTTGTCCAGTTTGGATCTTTTTTAATTGTATTGCCGTGCAAGGCAATCTGGATGGAAAGACGACTCATGAAACCATCTAAGTTGATTTGCAAATTGTATTAGCTAAAGGAAAACATTGAGGGCACTTAACTCCCGCCCGGCCATTGCTTGGTGCAACCCCCTCAACCCTAGTATAAGTACGGCCTTGCCCTCAAGTATGTTTTTTATGTCAAGTTACCAGGTTACGAATTAACCGGCACATCGCCAGGATAATGCTGAAATAACGCGTATGATTTTGCTATAATATAAAACCCAGAGTTCTGCATCAATTTCATTCAGACTTCCATTCTATGCAAAGCCCACGAAATTTCACTACATACCAAGGTATATTTCAGTTTACTTGTTTTTGTTGGCTTGAAGGCTTTTTTTAAATAGCAGGGTAGTAACGTAAAAAAGGGAACATTGTCAAAGAGCTCCAATTCTGATAGCATTGGAAATGTCCGCTCTATTTTCTTTTTGTGCGGTATGTATGCAAGGTACTTTGTTGTTTATATCATTAAGTGACTTGGTTTGTCTTTGTTGGGTGCAAAAACGCAAGAGTCGGTTCAAATGAGGTCAAATGGGGTCAAAAACATTTTAGCTTTTAACATGACACAAAGTAAAGATAGATCTTAGAAGATGTGTCAGTAGTGTATTCCCCTCGAGCAGCCGAGTAGGATGATATGCGACTTTAAGCACTTAGGTGTGCTTCAGAACTGGAGTATATCATTCGATGCGCTTGTCGTTGAACTCGTTCAACATGCTGAACTCTCTGGCGCTTTTAATTTGCTCGATCTTTATCAACCCAAAACTGACGATTTGTTACAGAATTCTTACAAGTATAATGATCAAAGAAAACCAAAGCCTCATAATAATGAATGTATTCTAAATTATGACCGAGAAAAAAGAGATAACAGTTTCGGGCATAGCCATAGAATAGCCATCAGTTTCGGGCATAACCATCACGGTCTCATATAATTCTTACATTTATATCCCTGAAAGTCCCGAAACATTGACATAAAGTCTCCAAATTAGCACAAAAGCGAGATTTCCTACGGGTCCACCTATCTACATACACAATCCATCATGTAAATTTGGTGCTTCTAAGTGCTAAAGAAGCATATATCTATGTATAAGAGCGATTTGTCAGGTGGGGCTGTAGGGGCCCATACATGGTCGGTCTCGTTATTGAAAGGGTCTTGCTGTGCAAGGGCTTGTTGTTCCGAAGTTCATAGCATAGCAGCATGTGGCTCATGCCTAAATAACGATATTAATGTCGCCACGGGGTCCGCCGCTGGTCTGTAATTACTAATTAGCAGCCACTAAAGGTGCTCTATGTCGGGTGGTGGGTATACGGATCCGAGCTCTTTAGCTTCTGCTGGGCAAGTCGGGGCAAATAGACCGTTTGTCTGAGGCTGTTGTCAGGCACGGTGCTGGGTGCAGTAGGCAACGTCCTAAATGCTGGCAGTGCCGCACTGCCTGCAATGGCCCGTCCCATCTTTTGTAATTGAGCTAAAATTTCCACTTTACGTCGATCGAAAGTTTTTTTTTTGTAATGCTATAGAGTAATGTTTTTATGCTAGTTTTCTGTCTGTAGGCGGTAGCCGGTAAGCGTGGAAAATCATAAAGAATCCAGGAATTCCAACGTCACAAAGCAAATTTTCCTACATGTGAGGCATGGTTTTGGACGATGATTCGAATGTAGCTGTAGAAACGGAAGAACGATTCATAAAAATATTGACGTGTATTCAACTGAGATACAGAGTGTGTCGCATATAATCAGGTTTGTCACTGGCACAAAAACCACACAGCCCATGCATGAATGAACCTGAAGTGACGGCAATCGTGGAATACAATGCTGAGAATCTTCCCTGGCGCCCAGTCGTCGCGCTAGCCTATATCCTTGTCAGCGAGAAGACAGGCAACGCTCAGGAGTTGGCGCCGTCGCCCTACACGAGGGGGAAGCTGGCGCTGGAGGCCACGCCGCACACGTTGTTCTCGTTGCGGGCGATCTTGATGTAGCCCTGGTCGCCCCAGTTCTCGGACCAGCTGTTCTTGACGAGCCAGTAGTCGCGGCCGCCCTCGGAGCCGTAGCCGACGGCCAGCACGCCGTGGTCCAGCTGCATGCTGGAGCAGTTGGGGTCGTCGTACACACCGCTGTGGTAGAACTGGAACGACGACTGGCTGGCGTCGATGGCGATCGAGATGGGTCCGTGCACGGCCACCGCCTCCTTCAGCGCCTGCTCGTCGCCCTCGGGGATGTCCATGTAGCCCTTGTCGGTGGCGCCCACGTCCTGCTTGTTGAAGCGGCACGTGTCGTCCTCGGCCTCGTACGGGTAGGACGCCTCCGTGTCGATGCCGCCGTTGGCCTTGACGTACTTGAAGGCGTCGTCCATGAGGCCGCCGTCGCAGCCGTTGTTGCCGAAGCTGGTGCTGCAGTCGACCAGGTTCTGCTCACTGAGCGACACCAGCCGACCCGTCTTGCGGAAGTGCTGTCCCTCGAGGGCGCCCGTGGACGAGAAGGCCCAGCACGAGCCGCACTGGCCCTGGTCCTTGACGGGCGTGACGGCGCCCTTGTTGCGCCAGTCGACGGTGGCCGGCAGCCGGATCTCGGGCGCCAGCGGGAGGTGGACCGGCGCCTCGCCGCGACGCTTCCGCTCGTGCTGGTAGCCGTTCATCATCTTGGCGTACTCGCTGGCAGTCAGGTCGGCGAACTGGTTCAGCTTCAGCTTGTAGCTGTGCTGGCCGAGCTCGTAGCGCAGGTTGTGGTCGTTGACGAGCTTCTTGTTCTGGTTGTAGATGGAGAGCCGGAAGCTCTCCTCCTCCTCCGAGCCGTACGCTTTCTCGTGCGTCTCCTTGAACTCGTACCACTCCTGGAAGGCGACCATCTGCTCCCAGCTGTCGGCGGCCGCCTCCAGCCGGTTCAGCTGGCTGAAGTTCGGGCCCAGCGAGAAGAAACTCACGGCACTGGCCGCGTGCACGACCAGCGCAGCCACCACCAGCAACTTCATGTCTGCGAGCGGAGTCCCGGGCGTATGGTGCGAACTCTCCGACTCACAGCACCCGTCTGGCGCCGGACCGGTCCGGCCGGTCCCACTGTGGGAGCCGCACTTCAGGTGACCTTGAACCGCACATATGGCAGCCCCAGTCTGGGCGGATTGGCCCAGACTCGGCGGAACCCGCAGCGCCCGACGTGAGCCGGCGATGGACCTCGGCGACTGTTGGTGGGGAGCCGTTCAAAAGCGATCTGTCCATCGTACGGGTGGACACCGTTCCGTGCTTCTATCCTCAGGATACTGAAATCCTTCTCCTCCACGCCGCAACCCCCCTCCGGGCTGGACAGGCAACTTTATCTCATGCGGGCTGCTCCCTAGGAGCGGCACCGCTGCTCCTGAGGGAGCGCACCCCGTAGCCGGGTGCAGTGAGTGCCTTGGGGCTGGGTGGCCCGTCCTCTGGACGGGCTCAGCCCCGGCGACTCACTAGGGTGCCTGCCCAGACCAATGTCTCCCCCTATTTCCTATCATCCTTCCGGCTCTGCAATGGTCTTGTCAGACCGAAAGGGCCTAACCCAACAAAACAAACAAAAAACAAAGTACGGGTGGATGAATTTACGCAGAGAAGGATTTTTAGGGACTAATAAACCACAGATGACAGAGACCTATTTAAGACGAGTCATTTGTTACTCCTTTGATGATAAATAGATGAAAAAGACTGCTAAGAAAAACGTCAGAGAATGATCGACGATAACAATTGTTTGTTTATTCGATGGCTACACAGTGAACAATAGCCCACATTGCAGGCATGTTTGTATTTTTTTTGTCTGAAATTTTTCGCTGTTATGGGTTCTCTCGAGGCTCGAGCACTACCCTCAGCTGTCAAGTAGCTAAAGGTGAATCTCAGGCCAAACCGCTGAGCCCTGCAGCTCTCTTCATCATACCATACCGTCGCACTGGCTCCCCCGACTTCTCGTTAGCTCGACGGGTCGCCGCCGCGCTAAGCGTCGACGTGATGTGGTGAGCCAAGCTCGCCGTGTAGCTGGGCGTCCATTAGACCGGTGGTCGGCGGAGTTCAATGGATTGTCTTCTTTAGGTGTTATAACAGCAGTTTTGACTCAGAATTCACGGGCATAGCCGCATACAGAACTAACACATGCCTGGGGACCGAGAATACCATTTCATTGACCTGTGGTCGCCATCAGCGCTTTCGAATGATTTTGACCATGTCATCTACAGGGTGTTTCACTAAAAGTGTCAAAAAGTAAAAGGTCATAATGCACATAATAACAATGTTTTTTAAGAAAATTTGCATATCATTTCATCCGCAATTGTTGGACATTTGAAAATATGAAAACGATATCACCGTCACTCGAACCTATTCCACACATCTGCCCCTTCTTTTGATGCACCGTTTCGGCACGTGTCCGGAGGTGACTCACAGCCCGTTTTCATCTTCAGCGTCCAGACTGTCGGCAAAGCCTTGAATTGTGCTCTTTAGCTCCCGAAGTGATGCGACTTGAGTCTTCCTCAGCTCTGCGAGAGCTACTGAGTCACTGACCAAACCAGATGCTTAGCCTTGACAGATCGGGGCTTCGCGCTGGCCAGGGGCGGGCGGCGAGGCAGCTGATTATTCGGCCCAGGAGCTTCTGGTCCAGTCAGTTCCTGGTGGCTACAGCCGTTACAGTGGTTGATTTTAATAACTTGTAAGGCCCTAGCTATTTCTGATGTTGGAATTAGCTTCTTGTTATCTTCAAAGGCCCTCAAAAAGACCCTGACCTTCTCAACGGTTTCCGCCGAGAGGTGGGGGCAACCCCGCCTTTTTTGGACTAAAACCGGCATCGAAGGAACCCTTTTAAACCTCTCAACAAGCCCTTTGAAACTTTAATAATCTGGAACGTAGCGAGGTGAGAGAGCAAAAAGTTTCCTGAAAAGTCGGCATACGGTTTCAATGTTTCTGATGGCACCAAATGTAAGTGTAATTCACCCCTCCTGTTGCGGTGTAAATAACCTGTTCTTGCTCTGCATAAGGAAAAAATGACTAGTAACTTTGTCCTCCTGCCCTCGCTCCGTATGAGTGTAAAATATATCTTAAAGGTAGTGTGCCAGCTTTCTTGGACCGTAGGGAGTTAATGGCCCAGATAAGGAGAACCGGATTTTTAGAACTTATCCATACCTTCAAAACTCATGGAAACGTCTTAAATTCTTCAAATTTTGAGTACCCCAGTGCGAAATTCGCCCCGACGGGTTGTCGGTCGTACCCCAACCACATTTCTTACCACTATGAACAATAAATGCACACACTGAAATCGCTATTACCGATATGCTCATCCAATCAAGTTTCGATAAACCCGTTCATCATCATCTCCTGCGGTTTCCAACACGCCTGTTAGGTGGCTTCTGATGCTCGTCGAGGTCGGAATTTCCAAATACGCGTGGTGCGTCGGGCCGCGCGCTCTGACTTCGGCCAAGAAAAATGCGTCAGCTGATCATTGTCATTTCTGCCACTTGCGTGTGGTGAAATGGGGTCATAACTTATAAGACGGCTTTTTCATATCAATTATTTTACATAAAATCATATTTCAAACCATAAATAATGTTCGACAGCCAAATAAAAGAAACAATACCAATACGGGCTTACAGTTTAAGGCTCGACATTGTGTTGTCTACGATTAGACAGCTGATAACTCATTCCCGTACGTCGTATGGTCGTAACACTATAATGACCTTTGCTTATTGTCACAAGTGCGCCGCATTCGCGATTGTTGCCCGACGCCTGTTTGCAGGTGAGCCCACTACAGTTGTTATACATATCTAAAAACCGAAAAACTTTTAGGCGAAAAAGGCACTATTCCAGGCCCATTTTTGATTTTTTTTTTGCGATATTAGGTAAAAACAGAAGCTTCTTATCCTAGGAAAAATAAAATGGGAAATCTTTCAAAGGTGGCACACTACCTTTAAATGGATAAATTATAAATGTCCAAAAATTTGCAACAAAGCCACGTGCGCAGCCACGTGATTTGCATATTCTATACAGCCCCCACCAAATCTTCATCTGGGCCCTGTTCATGAAGTCTGCGGCCGCTGCGGCCGGCCGCAGGCTCTAAGCCCCGCCCATTTTTGAAACGTCATCACTCACTCGGCCGCAGCAGCGTTCCATGAACAGCGTCTGCTGCCGAAATAGTTTCCGACAATTGTTTACAACTGACGCACACCGCTGGATAATTTGTTTACAAAATCGTCTCCATGACAACACGGCTTGCGCCTATTTGACTTCAGTGCGCCAAGTTCAGTGCATTAGTTTTCTTGCGGCTCGGCGGTCGCTGGATTGCGGCCGCAGAGATCGCAGCGGCCGCAGCAAGGTGACGTCATACATTCGTCATACTACATGAGCCCCGCCCATTTTTGTGACGTAACAACCCGGCTGGCCGCAGCGACCGCAGCGGCCGCAGCGACCGCCGGGGTTCATGAACAGGCATCGGCATTTTGCTACTGATGACGCCATTCCTAGCAACCGAGCGTCCCTAGCAACCGAAAGTGAAGACGTTGCACCTTCAACAAACGATCGTCAGCTAACTTCGTCAGCAACAAAGAAATGAAATTTATGAATGTTATGTTGTGAAAATAACTTGTGATATTAATTAAATCCTGATAAAATCCATACTTATTAAAGCTTACGATACATCAAATTCGTAACGTGTGTAAAAATGTCTGACCCCAGGTCACTTATGGTCAGGTCACCAGCCACCAGGCAAAGTGAAGTGACCATGAATCTAAAAACTTTGTGATTCAGTCATTCCTACATTTAACATTCCAGTAGCTTGAAACTCAGGGTAGGTATTGCATGGGGGAATCAGTACCAACAATTTGTTTCTCTCAGAATTTGGATATCGGTGACTTAAGGTCAGATCAATTTTGTGACCTCTCCATTATGCGTAAATCAAAGGGAACAAATTGAAATGCTTTTCTTTTGGCTTAAAACACCCTCAAACATCAAGGAACACAGGTGAACATGAAGACACTGAACCAAAAATGCTTCCTATGACCCGTTTATGCCCCTGAGGTCATATCAGGTCATGATACGTCTCCAACATTTTTTGACAATACATAACTTAAGATAGAAATATGCTAGAGAGCTGAAATGACCATTAATATGTTCAGCTCAACAATACAAATCGAATGGCATCCAACATGACCTTTTCTGTGACCTTGACCCGAGGTCAAATTCTTAACCCACGCGCTTATAGGGGGGGGGGGGTCGACCGGACCCGCGAATACCTAACTCGCGTAAAAAGTCGCCGATCGCGACAAAACTTTCAGTACCCTCGATGTAATTAATTTTAAATCTATCCTGAAAATCATGACCCTGGCCAAATTGACATTTGACCTGTAACCTATTCCTCGAGACCATGTTTGGCCGGAATCGCGATTCTGCGTATGTCAGCTAGTATCCGCGCGATTGCAGTGTTTTTGTGGTTTCAAACATTTAAACATGTGAAATGATATTGGTCCCATGCATTATTGTGGGTGTCAAGGTCCCCTGAAGGTCAGGTCAGGTTATTGACCTTTGATGACCTCGGTTCACTTTTTCGAGTTTTACATGTTTCTAGGCTAGTTTTTGGAGCTGATTTCGAATTTAGCAGTTCTTTCAACAGCTTCGAAGTAGTTTTGGTGCCTTCGTAACATGTAACGAAGCTGTCAGTGGCGGTTGACACCTACAATGAATACCCGGCTGGACCCCTGCTGGGTTACCTTCACCTGACCTGACCTGACCTGGCCTAAATGCATGAAGACATCATCTGTGATCAAAACTAACATGATATTCGTGATCAGCACCGCGAAAAACCTCTTAGCAACCACACTTTACGACGTTCTAACAGGTCCCGATTTCCCGACTTTTGGGTCATTGACCTGACCTGACATGTCAACCGATGAGCTAGGACCTCAAAATTGGGTATCATCGGCTTGCTCTCGTCACGGGCAACACGCTCTTTTTTATGCGAAGCTCTAGCTCAATAAGTGGCCAAACGGCGAGGGTTTAATTGACTTTTTCCGGTCAATTTTATCTGACCTTCACCACACCACGTTGCCTCAAATTCGGAATTTTAGGGCATAC